GGAGCAGAGCGACTGCTTGCGTGCCCCATGATGCCATAGAACAGTCTTCTTCCAGAAGAGTCTGCCGTGCACAGTTAGAACTCCAGGGGTAATTCCACAGAGCTGGAGAAACCCCTTTAACCTCTGTGGCGTGTGGGTCTGTTCAGCTGCAGAATGAAGAGGAGCCAGGCGAGAGCACGCCGGTGGTGAACGATGCCCCTCCGCCTTACAGCAGCATTTCTGCGGAGAGCACAGGTAAATGTCACGGGGAGGAACTAGCCAGCTTTGCTCTTGTTCTGTCTTACCTCCTGAATTCTTCTCCTTACTGACGGATGGCATCGCCGCGTTCTTACCAAGGCTGCAGAGGATCAGAACTGATCTGCAGAGACTGTTCTTATTTGGGGTTTGGAAGATGCTTTCTGCCTATGTTCGTCTGATGTCGTCCCGTCGAGTGGTGTTCAGGTTACATTTCACGGTGTTCTCAGTGGATTGAAGGCAGTTAAAATCCAAGTGTTGTCAGGATTAGTGGTTCCCCTCTCATTATTTGGCATTTGGATGATGCTGTGCTCCTTCCAAAAAGACTTGTTACTTAAAAGGGATTAAAGAATTCACTCTTTTTGCAGTTTTCAATAACCAAGGACTTCATCATAAGGATTATACTTCTTCCAAATCACCACACTGTGATGTCTGCAATAGCTTTTAGCAAATCAGCATGGTTTGTGTTGGTTACGTATCTGAATTTTTTGGCTTAGGTAAATCTTTTCATTTTTTTCCCCCCGGAGGTTTCCAAGTCAGTTGTTTAAATAAGATTTGTGACTCAAATGCTGTATACCGTCAGTCTCTCAAGCAGCTGCCCAGCTTTGGATAGAAGCTGTGTTTCTCAGGCTGCATGTTGTGTGTCCTGCCTTGGTGTGCCAGCCGTGAAGATAGCCCGTTAGTTCTGGTTCTGTGGTGCCTCTCAGCCACTAGGGCTCAGAAATGCTGTGTTTGATATCTTTTTTTTGTCCTGATCCCTTTCCTGTCCGTCAGAAAACAATTTGGAGTCTCTCTCTGGAGAAATTGGTCACCAGTGCCTAAAGCTCGTGGTGATCCCTTTTTTGACTTGCTCAAACCACTTGAAATTGGAGCTAGGACCAGTTCTAGTTGTTAGAGTCAGGAGAGACGCAGCACATATTGTTTTAAAACTAAATACAGGCAGGCCTGTAGTAGTAGTAGTGCTCCGCACATTACTGTACGAGAGGTAAGGTGCTCCTGGGATTTTCACTTTCTGTTTTTGGGTGGCAAGAGGCTGGAAGGGTGGGGAGGGGATGGGAGGGACAGGCTTCTCGGGGCTGGCATCATCTGAAACACTTCTCATTCCCATTGGTCTTAAGGACCTGACAAGTTACCTTCTGCATAACTTTTTTTTTTTTTCCTCCAGCTTACTTTGACTACAAGGATGAGTCAGGATTTCCTAAGCCTCCATCTTACAACGTGGCTACGACGCTGCCGACTTACGATGAGGCAGAGAGAACCAAGGCTGAAGCCACAATTCCCTTGGTTCCTGGAAGGGTGAGTGTGCTTGGCTGCCGCTGTCCTTTGCATTTCTTGTCCAGAATTTCTGCTTTAACTCCTGCTGATCAAATATCATGACTTTACCCCACCCTCCAATGGTTCTGGGGTGGTGATATTACACACTCCCAAGAGTCCTGTGGCTAATTTTGTTGCGGGTTGGTTTTTTTTTCTCTCCTCTGAGTGGCTCTGATGATGTAAGACGTCTTAGTAATGCCAGCGTGTGCTATCCAGATTAGTTTGGCAGGCTGACAGAGGAACTGTGCTGGATCTGTGTGCACTGTCACTGCTTTGCTTTTTTAAGAAAAGATGTAGGATTAATTGTTCAGTCATCTAGTAGCGTATCTACCCTTGATACTCCTACTGGTTGCTTACATGACTTTTCCAGAGGTCAGTGTAGCTGATACAAAGATGATAAAACCATTCTGTCAGAATAATTATTTTTGAGGATTTTTTTAATTTCTTTTTGTTTCTTTCAACATTATCTCTTGTTGAGCCTCTTTGTCCACTCCTGCTATTATTAGGTGTCCACCACTTGTTATACTTCATAGAAACCAAACTTCTTGCTGATGCAAGTTTAATTTTTTTTTGATGAGTAAGGTGAGAACAAGAACATGCTGGAGCTTGCCTGTCTTAACAAATAAACAAACAAAAACCCCAAAACTAAAACCCAAACCAAAAATACTGCCGTGACTTAATATTTCATGCCCTGCATCACCTCAGGATGAGAAGGTTTAGGGACTGGACTGACTCAAATGCCCTCTGTGTTGCGTCTCATCTCCCTTGGGTTTGCAGGATGACGACTTTGTGACACGGGATGACTTTGATGACACCGACCAGCTGAGGATAGGAAACGATGGCATTTTCATGCTGACTTTCTTCAGTAAGTACATGGTGAAACTTACTTTTTTTCAGGCAGTGACCCAAAATAGCTGGAGTTATTTTTCACACTTAACATTTATGTAGCGTCAGGAAAAAACTCTGTGTGAGGGTTTTATGTGGGTTATTATTATTTATTTTTTTTTTGTCCTTGAAATGTAAAGAGGGCTTGACCTGCTGCTTTTCTCCTGCTTTCTCAGTGGCATTCCTCTTCAACTGGATTGGATTTTTCCTGTCTTTCTGTCTGACTACTTCAGCTGCGGGACGATACGGAGCCATCTCTGGCTTTGGTCTGTCTCTTATTAAATGGATCCTTATTGTTAGGGTAAGTTGTGTCATATAAAAACGCGCACGTAGACACTGGTACTCTTTCTCCTTAACTCCTTTTTATCTCGCTTATACTGAAGTTAGTTACAAGTCTAGCTTTTTATAACAAAATAGGTTTTGAGCCCCTTATTCACCGAGATCAGAGCTTTGTCATCTTTCTGTCCTGTCTGTACGCTGGATTTATTATTCTAGTAAAAGAGGATGACGTTTGCACAGTGAAGTACAGCCTGCTCTGACAGAGCCACTGTGGTGGCTCAGAATGTGTTTGTGTGTCGAGCAGTAACGGTGATCTGGACTTTGTGGAATATTTATCCAGATCAAGCCCACCCCGCCGTCAGCACGGGGACTGTTCTCTCCACTGCGATGTTCCTTAGGTGCTCCTCAGAAAAAGAAGAAAAAAAGTCTCTGAACTGTGGGATAGCCGATGAGAAGAAAGAAATGGGGACTTCTAAACCAGGAGGCGTGAAGTTTGTGTTTTCTCTGAAGGAAGAAGAGGCGGCCACCGCCTTGTCACAGCGTAGGAGAAGCGCGCTGGTGCCCTCTGGCGCGTCGTGCCTGCGGCACAAGCAGGAGGGAATCGGGAGGAAGCACGTTTTTCAGTTTTGTTTTATTTCCATGTAAAAGCGGGGGGTAACCGGGCTGTCAAAACATTCTCTGTGCTCCCCTGCACCCCATCAGGCAGGGAGAGGAAGGGGGTGAGTGCTGAGAACTGGTTTGAGTTACGGGAGCCTGGGTGCAAAGGCAGGCACAGGGCTCTGCCTACGAGAGCGGGAAAGGCCGATGTAGTGTTCTTAAAACTTGGAAGGGGAGAAAGAAAAGCTTTTAGGAAGGGGGGGGGGGAAAAGCTGATGCTGGAAGAAAAAGTAAAAAAAGCCAAACTCTGTATAAGTAGAATTAGAGAGCTTTAATGTTGGGGTTGTCGCTTCATACCTGATCTCTTTAGGGTGGGAGCTATAACTTGTAAACGCAACATCCATTAACTTTTTCTGTAGAAAGCTCAGATTTTGAGGCTTTTCTCGTAACAGTGATGTTAAAAACGTTTTGCTGGATTAAGAGGTGTGAAAGAGATAGGTGACCCTAAGTGTGGAGATTTGATTTAAACTTTGGTAATGAAACCTTTTGTTAGGTTTTTAAACTTGAATAGAATGAAAGCAAACGAAAAAAATCACGCGGCATTTACCATGACATAGTGCTGGTCAGTGCTCTGGCAGTGTCGGTGCCTTTCGTTCAACAGGCAGAAACCTTGTCAGAGGGTTCCACGGACCTGGGATTTGTTTTTTTCAGCTGTACCTTTGTGAGCAATGCTGTCCAGCCTTACAGCGTGGTTAGTGGGCTGCACTGCTGCAGACCTGGTCTTCCCTTCCAGAAACTGTAGCTGTGCTTTGTAAGCATCAAAGACATGAGGGAAAACAAGAGTGTTTGCCCATAGTGTCTTTCTGCTCCGCTGACCGCAAGATTTTATGGCTGGGTATGGAATCTGTTCCATTCCCCTTGCTTAGAACTGGTCTGATGTCTGTAGAAAAACGTGCAATGGCAGTTTGTGGCAGCAGCTTGTTCCGTGCAGGGTGTGCAGCTGATGAAATGTGACGGGCCCCACGCTCCCTGGTGTGCAGTGGGCTTCATCCGGGTACAGCTGAGACTGGTGAGAATCGCTTAGAGTTCAGAAACTTCTCTGTGCTCTAACTTCAATTTTTTTTTTTTTTTTTTCAGTTCTCCACCTATTTTCCTGGTTACTTTGATGGCCAGTATTGGCTTTGGTGGGTCTTCCTTGTACTAGGTGAGTGGATGTTGGGGTGGGAAGAGGGAATGCCTGCTTGAAAACTCTGTGAAGTGCAATTAGGGGTTTTGTGAGCAGCGTACAGATGTAAAACTGAACTGTTGCCCTGACAGTACTTCTCTTACCGCGTGAATGCTTTCTGGGTTTTGAAGGTGCACATAAACACTGGCCTTCTGCGGTCATTTCTTGGCACCAGCATCCTATTTATCATACAGAAGTAATCAAGGAGGGAGCAATACTTGCCCTCGTAGTAACTGCTGTATCTGTCCGGGGAAGGGTGGGTTGTGGTCGGTCTTTTTTTTTCCATTCCTTTTCACTCCTTTGGAAGTGACTGAATCTCACTTGGAGTTCAAAGTTTTGTGATTGCCTAAGGAGAGTTTGGTTCTGAGATTGCCTGAAATAGTAAAAGCAGGTGTCATTGATACAGAAATAAATTGCTGTGTTTATGGAGTTATGGTGCATCTCCGTGACTCAGGTCCCTCTGTGCTGGTACCGGTGAGTTGAACTGCTCCCTCTCGTTGAAGAAGCAGCACCTGTGTTAACTGGACAAATGTGTTTCCTCCATCCAGGTTTTCTGCTGTTTCTCAGAGGATTTATTAATTATGCTAAGGTTAGGAAGATGCCAGATACTTTCTCCACTCTCCCTAGAACCAGAGTTCTCTTTATTTACTAAAGGTAAACTTTCTGCTTTCATGAATTTGTCTGGCTTTGTTTTTAACTCTGTTTTGGTTAGACTATTATTTGTTTGGATATTTTTAGGACACAAGGCAGCAGAAAACAGGTGTTTCTTGGTATCCCATAGGCAGCTTCTGTTTCTCCCAAATCCAGACTGGGTGGGGAGCGGAGGAATAAGTGATGTTTCTCACGGAGTTTTTGCTTTGAGGAGGAACTGTATATTCATTGGATTCTGTGGCTTGAACTGTAAAAAGAAAACCTCCATCCCTTGCTCTGTGCTTGGCCAGTGTGTCGGTAAATCACGTGCCTGAAGCACATGGTGTGTCCTAAACAGGAGTGAAGGTCACAAAGTGCTGTTAGAAGATCATGCCAGTGTCTTTGGTTTATGTCCCGGGAAGGGCAAGTTGTCTGAATCTCGCACGCTGTTTGGATTTTCCTCCAGGTTCCTGAAGAAATTAAACTCTTGCACACGTACTCAAACCTACCATCCTGAACCCTTTTAAAAACCTTAATGCCTAAAAGTCGTCTGCTTTAGGGCTGAGCCTTAACGGTGCTGCCTTTTAATGGGACTTTAAAGAAGGAGGCTTAAGTAGTTGAACCCTTGGAGCATAATTTCCTGCTTACAGCAGATAATGGCCTCGCATTAACCGTCCCTCCCCGAGGGGAAGGAAATCCTGTAATAGGTCGCTTCCCAGATGGCAGTGCAACACGATGCTCCCTTTAGAAATAGCATAATAACGCTCGATTTCCCCGGGACTGGGTTGAAGCAGTTGCAGCTGGGACAGTGGTGTAAAGGAACCAAACAAACCTCAGCTTTAAATTGGGGCTCGTTAAATCACTCGGGTTTTAAAACCAAGGCTCGCTTTTCCAAATGCACTTTTCCTTTTATTAGAAACTGCAAATTGCGTAAGATTCCGTTTCGCTTCTGGTCTGTAATGAGCACAGGCTACACAAAACGGGGCATTGTGCTGTGTTTTCCACTGGTGATAGTGTGTAAAAATAGTTCAGTCCATTTGCTGAAGTGTTGCAGTTCTGGTGGACAAAGTTATGGTTTATGACCTCCTCCAGGATTTGTAATATCCTCTCGGATTCCTGCT